CATATTCCCTTTTTGCCTGCCTGATCACAGACTTGCATTTTATTTGCCACAGCCTGTGTTCCATTTTATCAATCTCACTGAGGACCCTGCCACACGGGGGGGGGGGGGGGGTCTTTGGAAGCCACACCAAAATAGACACGCCACGGCGGGATCACACGGATCCCCTGAGCCGCGGCGCCGTTGCTCCTCGGCACGATCAGATGCCGGGGAGAAAGCCACGGTCAGGAGACCGAGGCAGCCGGCTGCGCATGTGTCTGCATGCACAGTTTGACCAGGAGCCGGGGATTTCCAGGGTTAGGGACGGATCGGGGACGGGTGCGCGCCGCTTCCCAGATGTTGCAATGAGATCGCACCCGTTTGCTGCGGCCCCGATCCATCCTTCTCCCGGGCCAAAACCCTCCGTGTGACCGGGACCTGAGGCTAGCTTTCCACTGTTTAAAGGAAGCCTTCTTACCTTTTACAGCTTCCATTACTTTCTTTGTTAACCATGCAGGCTTTTTTCTATACCTATTTGTGCCTTTCCTAACCTGCGGTAAAAAAAATTTCTGAGCTTCTCAGATTGTAGTTTTAAATAGTCCCCAAGCTTCCCCAATGGTTTTGACCCTTTCTACTTTTCCTTTCAGTTTCTTCCTCACATGTCCCCTCATATCAGAGAATTTACCCCTTTCAAAGTTAAAAGTGGTTGTGTCAGTCTTTTGGGGCAACTCCCTATTTATACAAATGTTGAATTCAATAACATTATGGTCACTGTTCCCAAGCAGTGCAAACACTTTTACATCTCTCACCAGGTCTTGGGCATTACTTAGGCGTTACTTCTTCACAGCAAAAATGTTATAGAACAAACATACAGAGTTAAGAGACCTCAGTACCAACAGTCCTATGCAAATCTATGCACACAGAATCAATTCCTTATCTCTTAAGTGCTAAGTTTCAAGAAGTTCAATGAATATAAGATTGTTTGGGGTGGAATGGGTCTGGATAAGGAGGAGATGTTAAGAGTGAAGTGTGAGGAGGGAGGGCCAAGCAGTACAAATGAAAGTAAAACTTTCTGAGCAGAATACTCCAGAAATTTTGAGATCTGTGTGAGCATATCCTTATGTATGTTTAAGCAAGTACAATACATATGCTATATAATGTTATCATTTTAGTTAAATAAAACAATTTCAATGGTTATTGTTGTTTATTATTTTTCTCCTTCCAGTAAAGTACAGCAGAAAAGTTGTCCAAATATGAATGATTAACCCATTAAACTGGAGATAGTTCACCTTGCAAAGATATCATAATTCTCTATTTCAAGTGGTAAATAACCAATCATTCATTTTCAGATATAACTAAAACTAACCTAAAAAGTTATTATACTAAAATGAAACCTTCATCTGGGTTGTAAATATTAAGGCCAGCAAGAATGACCCTTTATGTAGATAACCATGATTTAAATCAATTTGACTTACATCAAATCCGCCCTGGAAAACTATCCACACCTATAACATCAAGAATCTACACAAGATCCCTGTAAAATAGGCTGGTATTATTGACCCCTCCTTATTGCAGGCAACAGAAATTGGTTTGCCTTTATCTTCATTTTGCGCTGGAGAATAGATGAACAGAGGCTCCCAGAGTCACCGCTTGATCTCTAGATGACTACAGCAATTAAGGGGCATTGGTGACTTTGTGGCTTCTGGGTGTGTTAGTGTTTTGTGTTAACAATCTCCTCTCTTTTAGGATAACTGGGGAATACTTACCAGTGGGAGAGGGACCTCGTAAAGACATACAGAAAGCACTAAGAAAGTGACAAGGATGTTTCCTTAAGTGCTGGAATGGGAATGAACCAGAAAAATCAGGGATTTGTTCCTGTGCAGTTCAAGAACATTATCAGTCCTCTTGATCTGTCACCATCCCAGGCTTTGTTTGAGTTCAAAGACACTGTAGAGGTCAGCCTCAGTCACAACTCCATTTTCATTGCTTAGCACATGCAAAGTAGCAACATCCAATGCAAATAATAATAATAATAACAACAACAACAACAATAATAATAATGTTTGTGCTGCTGTAGTCCCTTTCATTGGGTTGCTTTTTCATCTTTTTAATATGTGCCTCTACAGATTTAATATATTATTGTATCTAATTAGCATTGTGCTGGTTACGTTTTTTAAAATGCTGCTGCTTTTACTTAATTGACTTTTTGGGGGGGTATTTTTGCATTTTGTGTGTGTGTGTGCCCATGCCTGGAGGTCATGGTGACCTCTGGCGACTCCTATGGGGGGCATGGAGGACGTTCAGAGGGGTGACTTGATGGCCTGCCTGCCTCTGCCTCCCGGCCCTGGTATTTTTTGGAGGTCTCCCATCCAAGTACTTGCCAGGGTCGGCCCTTCCTAGCTTCCGAGAACTGACGAGGCTGGACGTGCCTGGTCTATCCAGGTCAGGGCCTCTTTCTTAATTTGCTTTATTGCATTTTATTTTTACGATATGCCTTTTAGGCTGCAGTCCTGAGGATGCTTTCCTGGGAGTAAGCCTATCAGCAAACTAAAAGGATGCATAATTGATACTGAGGTTGTAGGTTGCTTTGATGACCCGAAGCAAGAGGCACATAATAGTTTTTATTACATCCTACCCAAATCACACCAAATAGTGTGTGACCTTTGTGAGCTCTCTAAAGTTCTTCATCTGGCTGGACTGGAGGCTAAAAAGGGAGGTGGAGAAGGAGAAGACACCGCAGACCCTAATTTTAAGGCCCCCTCTGCTCTTCATCCTACATACAATATTAGACAGCTTTCAGGAAAGTGACACTCACAAGTCCTGTGTTGGATCAGGGTCATGGCCAGTTCCATGCATTTTCCAAAGAGGGAGAAGAATTTTGTAGGAGTGGCACCAAGGTGCCAATCCTATCCACACTTACTCGGGAGACAGTCCCATTGAACTACATGGCTCAGTGGCAGAGCCCCTGCTTTCTGCATAGAAAGTCTAAGGTTCCGTCCTCAGTGTATCTAGTGAAAAAAATCAGGCAGGCAACTTGAAAGACAGGCCAACGCTCCCTCTAAGCTGTGGAGTCTTGTGAGCAAAAATTCTACTTTGTGAGCTGCTGGCATTAAAGTTGTGAGCGAGCGATTTGGCTGCTGCATAAATCAGTTTGCTCTGGAGCCATCCTTCCCGAGCTAAGACAAAAATGTGAGAGCCGGAGGCTAAAAAACTGTGAGCAAGGCTAGCTCACACTAACTCAGCTTAGATGGAACACTGTCCGAGACCCCAGAGAGTTGCTGCTGCCCGGGTAGACAATACTGACTTTCACAGACCAATGGTCTGACCACTCAGTATAAGGCAGCTCCATATGGTCATGATATATATATTTGGTGGCCATTTCCTCATTTCGGTCACTCTACCATCAGCCTTTTCTTGCTTCTAAGGCACATTTGTTTTGAAAACATCTCTCCTTCTCCTTTTTCTCCTGTGCAAGTCGCCCATCCTGAGCGTGCCCTCCTAAACCATAATTCCCTGGGGAGAAAACTCCACTGGATAGAACAAAACTCGACTCTGAGAAAGCAGGCATAGGGTTAGCATGGGGGGGGGGGGAAAGCTTCCGAAACGACACTTGACATTAAACTCGCCTCCCCCCCCTTCTTCCCCCTAAACATCTGGCTGCACGCCCCTGAAGTTTCCCCCACCTCCTCCACTCTGCTTTTAGGGGAAATTTACTTCTTCCGTTCACTTGTCAACTTCAGAGCCCGACTCCAACCGGATCTATAATGCACCACCCCACCCTCCCCCACAGGGGGACGCGGCTGACTCAAGTAAGCTCAGATACCTAGGGCCGGGAAGAAGGAAATGGGATTTTTGCCTTTCCTGCCACCTGATCCTGACACTGCATCGGGCCCAAGGGGTTGCAGGATCAGCCTCCCTCCCGGAGGGATGGACAGGAGAGGCCCCGTCCGCCTCCGGAGAGCCTCCCCCCCCCTTACCTGTCCCCGATCAGGATCTGCAGGTACTGCGGCGCCCCAGGGCGAAGAGCGGAGAAGCAAAAGCAAAACCATTTTGCGGCGATTCTGGCCGCCTTTTCCTGTTTCTGCAGAAGCCGGGCAAAGAGGGCAGCGGGGAGGGAGGAGGGGGGCGGGGCGGAAAGAAGAAAGGAGGGGCCGACCAGCATGCGAGCTTAAAAGCATTTCGAAGACTTGAGAGGTTGAAGTTGCAACTGGGGTCGCCAACCTCCAGGTGGACCCGGTAGATCTCCCAGGGTTACAACAGATCTAATTCTCTACACTAGAGAGATCTTCCCCCGGAGAAAAGGGCACTTTGTGCCATTATACAGCCTTTGATTGTGTGGATCACAACAAACTATGGCAGGTCCTTAAAGAAATGAGAGTATCAGACCACCTCACATATCTCTTGAGAAACCTGTATAAGGGTCAAGAAGCGACAGTTAGAACCGGATATGGAACAATTGATTGGTTTAGCATAGGAAAAGGAGTATGACAAGGATGTATATTGTCACCTTGTTTATTTAATATATATGCAGAGCACAACATGCAAAATGCTGGCCTGCATGAATCACAAATGGGAATTAAGATTGCTGGGGAAAAGATCAACAACCTCAGATATGCAGACGATACCACTCTAATGGCAGAAAGTGAAGAGGACCCAAAGAGTCTCTTGCTCAGGGTCAAAGAGGAGAGCGCAAAAGTGGGCTTGGAGCTCAACATCAAAAAAACTAAGATCATGGCATCCGGCCCCATCACTCCTTGGCAAATAGAAGGGGAAGTCGTGGAAGTAGTGACAGACTTCATGTTCCTGGGATCCCAGATCACCGCAGACTGTGACAGCAGCCATGAAATTAAAAGACGCCTGCTCCTTGGGAGGAAAGCGATGGCGAACCTAAACAGCATGATAAAAAGTAGGGACATCACCCTGCCAACAAAAGTCCGCATGGTCAAAGCAATGGTATTCCCAATAGTCATGTATGGCTACGAGAGTTGGACTATAAGGAAGGCCGAGCGCTGAAGAATAGGCTGGTTCAAGGTCTCTCCTCCTCCCCTTGAAGAACAGAAGAGATTGGATTTATACCCCGCCCTTCACTCCCCAAAGGAGTCTCAGAGAGGCATACAATCTCCTTTCCCTTCCTCTCCCCGCAACAGACACCCTGTGAGGTAGGCGGGGCTGAGAGAGCTCTTTTGAGAACTGCTCCTGAGAGAACAGCTCTGAGAGAACTTGTGACTGACCCAGAGAAGAGTCCGCACCCCTAACCACTACACCAAACTGGCTCCTGAAGAGGCAGTGTTGTGTAGTGATTAGATGAGGAGAGCTAAATTCAAATCCCTGTTCATCCAGGAAGTTTGGGGGCTGCCCTGAGCAGACTTCCTCATAGTGAACCTAGATCGCATTTGAAAACAGGCCTGATTCAGCCAGACATGCATCTAGGACACGTTATGTCCTCCTGACGACACACCTCTTTTTTCTTCCATGTAACCCACCTCTTGGGGGTTGGTGTAGGAATAAAATGGGAGGAGAGGAGAACCATCTATGCCCTCCTTAGAAGAAAGAGGTAATAAACGTGGAAGAACATCAGAAATTAATCCGTTTTGCACTTTGGCCACATTACTCACATTTTACTTTTTAGATATATTTTTTTTCAAATTCTCTTGCTCTAACTGAATTTGGAGGGCTTACAGTTCAGTGGTAAAGCAAGTAAGCAAATAGCTGGGGGGGGGGTAATTGCCTTCCATAAACTGCCTTTGCCTTTTAGCGAAGAAATGAATTTTGGAGTTCTGGACTAGAATTTTTACCACACACTATGACTTGATCCAAATTGGTCTTTGACATGCCTGGCAAGTTTACCTCCCTGCATCTCTGTGTTTCCTGAATAAACTTTCTGTTTATAATTTAACAAAGCATCTTTGTTGTCCATCACATAGCTGCACAGTGGTGAACTTCAAAGTTACCCTACTTCAGCAAAAAAAGAAAGAGAGAGAGAGAGAGAGAAGTGTTATAGGGAGGCTCTAGCAAGCAACTGCTGAATTGTAATTTGTAGGCAGATTTGACATTTTCAGTTCTGGTCTCCAGGAACTAAAAATGGCTCTATAAACAGGAATTGTCCCTCTGTAGAAATGTATGTGCCTTGTCAGATCTCGGAAGCTAAGCTGGGTTGTTCCTGGTTAGTATTTGGATGAGAGACCACAGAAGAATATGAGAGTCATGATGCAGAGGCAGGCAATGGCAAACCACCTCTCAATGTCTCTTACTTTGAAAACCTTTTGGGACTGACTTCACGGTAAAAACCACAAGAAAGGTATGCACAGTCTTAAATACTTAAAGGGCCATCTCATCCCATATTGTCCAGCCCACCAGTTGAGATCTGCCCCGGAATCCCTGGTCTCTGTGTCCCCCATTGTTAGAGGAGAGGCTGGTGGCAGTCACAGACATGGCTTTTTCAGTGGTGGCACCTCACTTCTGGCATGCCTCACCATGGAGGCTCAGCGGGTGGTGACTGTGGGGATCAGGCTAAAACACTTCTTTGAGCCAGTACTTTTATTAGGGGTTGATCTTTTCTTTCTTTTTTTAAAAATGATCTGCGTCAGCCTTTTTAAGAGACCCTTGTCATGCAGTGAACTGTTTTATGATGTACTTTAGGGTCTGTCTCTTTTCTTTTTATGCTGTGTTGATCATTTCTAGGGCGGCAAGGTGGCCTAGTATAGCCCAATCTCAATCTTGTCAGATCTCAAAAGATCAAGAGCCAGTTTGGTGTAGTGGTTCAGTGTGCGGACTCTAATCTGGGAGAACTGGGTTTGATTCCCCACTCCTCCACTTGCACCTGCTGATGTGACCTTGGGTCAGTCACAAGCTCTGGCCCAGCTGTTTCTGAAAGAGCAGTTTGTGTCAGAGCTCTCTCAGCCCCACCCACCTCACAGGGTGTCTGTTGTGGGGAGGGGAAGGGAAAGGAGTTTGTAAGCTGCTCTGAGACTCCCAGTGAAGGGTGGGATATAAATCCAATCTCTTCTTCTTTTTCATATTCTTAGCAGGGTCAGTACTTGCTTGGGAGAGGAAGGCAATGGCAAACCATCTCGGTTCGTGAAAAGTACGCAGACGGAGAGTGATTTCAGCAAAGCGTACTTTATTCGATCAGGAATAAGACAGCTTTGGCCGGCTCGCAGGCCGGCTTATATTCCCCGAGAAACTGCCACCCAAAACACCCACCCACTTCCCAATAGGTTATTTTCAGTGGCCGAGAGTCCCATTGGCTCTCGGTCAGGAACCTAGCCCCCTGATTGGAGCGGGCTAGGATCCGCATAGTCCATTGTCTCTTGGAGCGAAGCTCAATGTTTGTCTCTGGACTTGTCTGGACTTGTCAGGACTGTTTGTCTCTGGGCTTGTCTGGACTTGTCTGGACTTGTCAGGACTGGATACATTATGGTTCGTCTCTTGTCATGAAAGCCCCTTGCTGGGGTTGCCATAAGTCGGTTGGTGTCATGGGCCAGCTTGACCAGCCTAAGTCCAGTGTGGCTGAAAACTCCCCAGAAGTCGAGGAGCCACATGCAGCCAGCTCTGAACCAGCTAAAGTTAGTGAATTAGAAAGACATTCAGACCCTCAGTTCCTGTTTTACAGCTCTCTCTCTAACTGAAAATTGTTATTCGGCAGCAGCAACGGTCTACCACCTAACAGGTCCATCAGTTGAGGCAACAGATTCAGCAGTAAACACAAAGGCCTACTCTGCTCCCATGTCTACTCTCAGGATAAGATGGAGGCATGGAGAACGACATCGCAAGCCACTTTGGGTTCTCTTTGGGGAGAAAAACAGGGTCTAAATATTGAAATAGCTGAATTTTGTTGTCTGCCTAGGAATATATGGCTCAGCTGATACAGAAGGCTCAGTGTGTCTCGCCAAATGCTCTGTTGCTCATCTGAAAGTAGCTAAAGTCTTCAGTGCAAAACTGCTGGCCTACAACTGTGGCTCAGTGGTAGAGCATATGCTCGGCATGCAGAAAGTCCTGGGTTGAATCCCGGGTGTCTGCAGCTAAAAGAACCAGGCAGTAGGTGATGTGAAAGGCCTCTACCTGAGACCATGGAGAACTGATGGACCAAGGGTCTGATTCACTATAAGGCAGGTTCGTGATTCACATGAAGAAAGGATTTGGAACTTTGACACTCTCCAGTTAGGTCTTAGTGAGGTATTAGCTAAGTAAATGGAGATGGATGGTTTTATCACCAATTACAGCTACTATGAAAACTGCTTATCTTTTACCTTTATCACAGGCTCTTGCATTTCATTGCTTTTTGACACCACACTTACTGTGTGTTCTTCTCTATAACTATGGGCGTGCATATCTGCCAGCTGCGAACACAATCCATGCATTGGATCAAGAGGACTCTAGGCCACCAACGTTTCTGCCACAGTACGGATTTAAGGCGACGCAGGTGACAGGACTCTTTTAAAAATCTGAAAGCGTCAAAAAAGGAAACAAGCTTTCAATTTGAAAAGTATGCCAAGTTTGCCATCTAGTGGCTAAGGTAATAATTCCACCATTTCACATATATTTTCTTTCTTAACATTTTTATCCCTCTGTTCCTTTGAGGAGCCTAGGGTGGCATACATCAATCTACCCTACTCCATTTTATCCTCACACCACTGACCCTGTAAGGTAGGCTGGGCTGCAGGAGGGTGGGTGGCCCAAGGTCACTCTGTGAACTTCATGGTGGAGTGGGGATTTGAACCTTTGTGTCCCAGATTCTAGTCCAACACTCTAACTACTACTGTACTTTGCCTCTCTTACAAGCTATTATTTATGTTTTCGGCCATGCTTCTCTGAGGGCATCTGGGATCTTTCTGCATCTAATTAATGCTGCATCCCACCTCCTCCCTTTCCTCCCTTATCTGGAGTGACATCCAACCTGATGGAGAATTTCAGTGAAATCAGAAACTTGGTTACTTCTATGTAGCTTTTCATATCGTCTTGTTTTAGCCACTCTGGCACAGTGATTAGAGGGTCAGAGTAGGATCAGTGACAAGCACCTCTGAACCCCCAGATGTTTACTGGGTGGCCTTGGGTCAGTTACCTCTCACTTTCATACTGCTCGCTGGCCTGGCATGG